TTGATTGAGAATCAAGGGCTCTGCTTCATGGATAGCTGTAAATTCATAGGCAGTTGGAGTAATGTCAGTTTCCAAGAAGGCTGGCACCTAGGGAATGCTAGGACTTTGTTGATGGTAGTCACGTGGCTCTAGAGCTGAGAAGGGAGAGCCCTTACTCAGACGAGCCTTTGCTTGAACTACATCCTACTTTGGCCTCGTGCACTCTGTGCTCCCCTGAGATATAAATCAACGCTTCGGTTCTCTACCAGCCATGAGACACGAGAGAATTACTTCAGAACAAGAGGAGTCCATGCTAAAGCCTTGCTATGGATTATTCAGATACTGACAGTGATTCCACTTTGGGATACAGCGATGATGAAGATTCCAGTGATGAAGTGCAAAGAATATCAGAGTCAGTGCACAGAAAACTGTTATTTGAAAATATTTTTGGATATTTTTCATGCTCTATGATTTCATTGAAAGCAATTTCTAACTCTTCCAAAAATGCTTAAAAAGAGAACAGTACTAAACTGCATAGCTTTGACAGTTATTAATCATTAATCAATAGCAACTTTGTAAAATATCTTTTAATCCGCCAAAAAGTAGCTACTTCTGCAATAGTACATGTTTATTAACTGTAATGCTAAAATCAACTAATACTGGTACAGAAATGCATGAATATGAAACTTTATTTTTAAAGAAGATGCACATGTTAAGCCTGGACTATTATATAGATGCGTGTATATTTATTTGCTATAAAGAAGTGTGCTGAGTGTTCAAAGGCAATATGTGTATGGTGAAAGTTTTTAATTAAGTATATTGTACATATAACTCTAGTTATAAAATTCTCTCATGGCCAATGTTTTCTTTTTTCTTCAAAAGCTTGTTATATTCATCTATTAGAAATTGTCAAATACCTTAATCTACCAAAAACTAAAATGGAAAGAAACCTCAGTTTTTAAAAATAACACCATCTCCCTTTTTCTCCTCTTTTCCCATGTCTAAATCTATATTACATGAAACCCTGCTAACTTAGGTTTGTTAGCACAGAAGTTCTGTGAGAAACCAGAACAGCTATGTGTGAACAGAGATAAGTTTTATAACAACATGGAGCTATTAAGACCCCTGCATTATATGAGTATGCAATATTTTATATCTGAATCCAAATGATATTTGCTTTTGACATGCTTCTTTGACCTATAAAGGAAATAAGCATACACAGTAAATCACAGTATTGTCTGCTTCTGTGAGTAATATTTTCTCATTATAAATTTCTACTGTCTCTCATAAAATAAGGGATTTATATATGTCAATACTAGGGAAGATATTATATGGTACTTTACAGGAGCAGCTCTCTGAGTACTCAGGTCTGACATTTTAGACAACTGCATAGACTGTCATAGTGGCATTAAGTACCTTAATAGACAATGACAATGTAATGGCCACATGAGTTAGGCATTGAATGAACTTGGCCTTGAATAATTTGTATTTTTTTATGTAGCATTATTCTAAAGCAACATAACATGGCTAGGGCATAGCTATGGAGAGAAATTCTAAAAGTTTGGGAATCAAATGCTTTACTGAATTAGCTTTGCAATTGGGCACTCATAAACATACTAATGCTGTTTTATTAACAATTACATATATTTTTATGATGATGGACAGAGACATTATGACTACTTACTATTCAGAAGTTATTTTGCATTAAAATTAAGTCAGAACTGTTGTGTAAATAAATTGGACAGCAGTGTATCAACAGTGGACTGTTTTGGAAAGAACATGGACTTTGGAGCCAGCCAGATCTTTTTTCAAATTCCAGGGCTACAACTCATTTGCTATGTCTGACTTTGGGTGTGTTACCTAACCTTTATACCCCTGTGTAAATCTTGGATAAAATATCCACCTCTGTTAGGTGCATTAAATGAGGTTTGTGTGAGATTTCATCTAGATCCTGATATATACTAGATGCTCATTAATTAGCAAATATTACAATCTCTTGTTTAATATGTTGTTTTCCTACATTATACATCTCTTCTGTTTTGGTATATGTCACTTTACATGGTATTAAACCTGATTGTAGGCTATCACTTATAGATTTTCTTTCTTAAAATAAAATATTTTCAATTTCTGTTGACTCTGTCACTCTTCTGATCTTTGATTTTTCCTCATCTACACTTAAAAATATCTATGTACTTATTGTTGCAAGAAAACTACATTCATTTTTTAAATATATCCAATTTATGCCAGATAATATGAAATTTTAAAATATTGAAAATTTGTAATGAAATCATTTTTTAAAATTTATATGTACAGAAAATATTATAAAAAATAAGCATTATCTTGTATATTTCACACTTTGAAAGACTGTGAGCAGTTTTTAAATTGCTAAGATAGAAGTATGTTTTAGGGAAAGTGAGATTTAATATGATGTTCTCTATAAAACTATGATGTGGTTGTTGTTTTGTGTGTGTGTGTGTGTGTGTGTGTGTGTGTGTGTGTGTGTTTAACAATGGCAGCAATTTGTAATAATTTATACTTTATTGAGCAACCTCCTTAGAAATAAGCCATTCATACAATTTATAGAAGACCTGATGGGCATTACTGACATTTTCTACTTATGTCCACTTCATCAAAAATTCCCACTCAGAAAGTGATAATGGAGTTGAAAATATGTTGTCTACTTCTATGGAACAAAAAGAAAATCCACACCTCATTCTTGGGTAGGAATGTTTCATAAAACACATCACCCTATAAGGACAGACATGACAGCACTGCTGACGAGAGCTAGGAATAATAAACAACAGAACACATTGTTCTCTATGTGCCAGGCATTATGATAAACAAATCTTTGATTATCTCATTTAATATGACACAGTGAGTAGGCAGTCTTACTCTCCCCATTTTTACAGAAGAGAAAGCTGAGCCTTTCACACAGCTTGTAGCTTGTCTTGTAAAACCACTACAGTGGGATTCCAGAGCCTGTTGTGGTGGGCCTGGGACTGTGGTGCCTGTGCCATCCTGTACCACACACTTCCTAAGCACCTCCTGTGTGTCAGCCATTTAGGGTAAAATGGAGAGCCAAAGTAGCCCTGGAATCTGCCCTCGTGTGGTTTAGTAGGAGGAACATACTGTCATTAAACCAATAAATGTGTAACTGCAGTGATAGGTGGTTGGACAAAGAGGTATGTAGGACCTTGAGAATGAAAAAACAGTGAACATGTTCTCATTAACTCACGTGGTTCTCCTGAGGAAGGGGCACATAGGCTGAGATCTAAAGGATAAGATGGGTGAACTAGCCAAGGAGTTGGAGACAAGATCCCTAGGCTTAGGGAAGGCACGTTAAAGGAGGTGAGGTGTTCAGGAATGGAAAGGAGGACAGTTTGTCTGGACGGTGGAGAATGTGAAGGAGGCACTGGGAGGAGGATGCTGGGAGTTGTGGAGATGATAATGAAAATTTTGGAATCAAAAGAGAACTTAGTATGGTAGGCAGGTTAAAAATTACAATAACCAATACCTTTTTTGTTTCCTAAGTAATGACCAGTGAGAAACAGAAATGGGAAAGGATGCCACTCATGAGAAACTAATGATATAAAACACCTAAAAATACTGTTTTTGAAATGTCAGCTCCAAGTGGAAAAGATTAAGAAATATTATTTAAAGACAGAAAACTAGATCTGCACAAGTAGAGAGTCATGCCATATGTTCTTGTATGGAAATTATTAGAATCATAATCCTTTTTTTCTGAAATCAATGTATAAATGTAATACAACTCTAGCAGAGTCCCAGAATGGGTTTCTTTGGAAGAGGAAATTTATTTTAAAGTCTACATAAAATGTGAATGTTTAAGAATCATCAAGATATTTTTGAAAAAGAATTTCAGTAAGGGGAAACTTGCTTTACCAAATTCTAAATACAAAATAGTCACTGTAAAGCAACAATGATCTTAATAGCATGATGTACTAACAATGAAAGAAAAAATATCAGTGGACAAAATAGAGTTCAGAATTATATGTGACAACTTGGTGTACTTAAAAAAAAGAAAATATCTTTATTTTTAAGACTTACTTCTCTATCCTGTAGAGACATATGATGTTTTAAGTATGCTTTTTGGAATGTGTTAACACTATATTATTTCCTGTGTACATATCTCTGTAACATATTTCAAACTCATATTCATCATTAATAATATTAACTTAGAAATGTTACCTTGATAGGAAATAGAGTACGTTTTCAAGTATAACTTATGTTTTTATGTCAGTGGTACCATTAATTTTTCAGTAGCTCAAAATGCCATGTGAATGCTAATTTACCAAATCCACCTTTGACTACTGGATCAGACAGAAATATCAGGGAAGGTTTTTTAAAGGTTTAAGAGGTTGACAGATATCCCTGCAGTGACAAATTACAAGCTTCTAAAGAGACAGTATATACAGATTTCGGTCACTGGGACTAAGATTTGTCAAATACTCTTGATGAACCATAAGCTCTGACACAGATAAGTAACTATGTGCTAGAAGTTGCCAAAAATTGAGCCATATAAAAGCAGGATCTCTAAAGTAAGGGAATAATTGAAACAGATCAATTGTTCTCAAGGTTAGAATGATAAATTCACGCACACTATGAATTATATTCTCAGTCTCCAGAAATATTCCTTCAGGTCCTTTAAAAATTTCATCTGCCCATGTTTATTACTGTCTCTATCATTGACCAATTAATTTGGTAATTCCCCAGAGAGCAGAGGGAATGATAATATAAAACTCTGTTGCACTTCTGTGAGTGAAACTTTACGTTTGAAGATTGTAATGGCTGAATTATAACTGTAAAATGTGGGTGCTGCATGACAAGAACAAGGTGGTTCCTCAGAACAAAGAAATTTGAAAGATGAACAAAGCTTAAACCTGGAAGTGGATAAATCATAAGAGTATACATAATTTACTAGGTTTCCTGAATGAATCACAAGGAACACTTTTGTTTGCTAGTAAAGGTTATTTTACTTCAGTGTCTCTCTCTTTTTCATACAGGGAGGATGTGAGGACAGCAAACGTAATTGCTGCAGAAGCAGTGACCTGCCTTGTGATCGACAGAGAGTAAGTACATTCTTTGTTATGCATATTGCACACTCATATCAGTGGCATACATGAGTTCCTGAAATTAGACATCGTTTTATGGAGCTATTAATATTTGTTTCATATATTTTCATTTTAAAATGACTTCTATACTTGACTGTCATTTCCTGTTATTCCTGAAAGTAGCTAAGTCTGCCAGTCTAGCTTTGTGGTCGTCACCAAGGTACTTAAGCACTGTGAGCTTCGCCTCAGCTCATTTATAAACTGGGGATCATGCAACATGGTAGCCGTACTGTGAGGATTAATGGGAACACGCAAGGAAAGCCATGTGTCCAAATGTGTTTTAGTCAGGAGGCACTCAAGCGATGCCTGATATTTGTGTAAATTTTTAGAAGGATAATAACTATGATAATATATTAATCATAATCAAATGTTATATTATTATTATCAGGAAATAGACTATTCCTTGAGCATATTTTAGTTATCTCGTCTTTTTTTTTCCATCCCCAGACTCCTATAAGAGAAGCATTTTAGGAAGACAGTTTTGAAGAAAGCATCTTCTAGCCATAGGCATATATTTAGGACCCTTAAAAGTTTGTTCCACGATACGTAGCCCTGTTCCTTCCCTCCATTCTGGCTTGCTGTTCTCATGACCTGAATGCTTTATTAGTTAAACTGCAGATGTCAGATTGCTGACTCTCCAAGAGCATGGTTAAAATGCAAATGCGCTCTCTGGGAGCACCCACTGTTTTTCCTCATTGCGGTGTGTATTGATAAGTTCTCAGAAAAGCCAAGTGCCGGGCCTAAGGAGAAGTACTGTAAAGCATCCAGTTTAGTGGAGCTGGACTAGTCTGTGAGTATCAGGGTGGAAGGAAACTGAGGGGGCAGATTTGATCAGCTCAGAATGCTGGAGTTGAGGTTGAGCGCGGGAGGTCTGAGTAATGAGAGATCCCACCTGATTCACATATCTCATGTTAGGAAGCCCCTCTGAACTGGATCTCTAGAACCAGAGCAGTGATAGTTGTATCCATAAATATCTCTGAAGTAGACATGCTTAGTTTAGTTCCCAGAAACAACAATTACCCATTCATTCATTCTTTCATTCAGCCAACATTTTACTAAGGATCTATCATACACAAGGCATTGTGAGGGACCATGAGAGGAATCAAAGGAGCAGCACAAATCCTGGTTTGGAGGTTAGCTTCTAATATACACAAATAATCATCATGCAAGGAAGAATACAAAAGAGTCAGTATACATATTTATGGGCGTCTGGAAAAGAGAGTGACTACTTCTGAGGAGAATCAGGGAAGTCTTCATGAAAGAATGGTATCATTAGGTGGATCTGGAAATACGGGCGAGGCGATATAAATAAAGTGCACAGCATAAGCAATGCTCACATGGGGACTATGAGCCATTTAAACTGTCAAGAATGAGGCTGTGTAAAGGTAGTTGGAGGAGATGTTGTGACTAATAAGTTTATAGACATCTTGGGGCTGGTTCATCAAGAACATTGAGTATTGGGATGAGAGTAACTGATATTTTATGCAGCAAAATAATGCCATTCTAACACTATTTGGTAGGCTAACCTGAGAATGCTGCATAAGATAAATAGAGGGAGAGCCTAAGGGTGGAATATTTGGTGAGAAGTCTATCAATCTAAGTGATGATCATAGGTGTTTTGAAGAAGAGGAAAGTAGAGCAATAGAAGTTTAATAACTTGATAAGTCTCATGGTAAATGGTAAATTGCAGATTAACCTAATCACAAAGAATCAAATTGGGTGAGATTTTGTGGGTCATCTAGTCTAGCTCCTTCATTTTAGTTAACTGAGGGCCTGAGAGATGCAGGAGTACCAAGTAGCATCACACACATACTTTTGCCTCATCATAATTTCCTCTTTTCTCAAGCGTAGTCATATATGGAGAGTGCACCGTGGAGAATGCCCGGGCTTTGGCAAATAAAACTCAAAATTTGAATCCTGACTGCACCATTTTATGACAATAGGGGCAAGTTACTTAAACTCTGTCTCAGTTTTCCCATCTGGAAAAAGTAAGATAATATTACCTAAATTATAAAATTGTTTTGAAGATCAATTTAACATACGTAAAGTTCCATAGGCATCACAAGATGGGTAGTAAGCACTCAAAAAATGCTTACTTCCACGTCTTACAAAAGGCATAGACATTTATTGATTTAAAGGTTTTCTCTATAATCAGTGGAAGTGTGTCTTATGGATCTATATAGAGAGGACATCTTGAGTGAGATCTAGCTTAAACATAAATACCGAGAAGACAGCTTGGGTCTAGGACTCAAGAAATGCATTTCTGTACTCTTAGGAGAGAGTGGGGGCTTCCCACCAAGTATTGGATTTACAGCTTAATAAAGAAATCAAACTGTAACTGAAGGATCCTGTCAAAAGCCTGGGGCTGGTACCTAATTTATGGCCAATTAGGGGGGCACCAGGGCTTCATCCCGTGCAAACAGATGGCAGAACTGTCAACAAGAGCAAATTTACAAGTGGGGGGCCAGGTTAAATAAGCACATGACTTATCATTCCGGAGGGAGAGTAAAAGAATTAATTAGTTGTAACTAATCATGCGTGTCAGAAACTGTTTTCCATACTCACAAACTAGAAAATGATAAACAGATACATGCTTTCCTCAAATAGCATTCTCTGAGAATTGGTTTCTTGCAACCTAATCATTATCTTAGTAATGATCTGCAGTGATTCCAAAATTCATGAAAGAATATTTAAAAGGAATATTATTCTAACAAAACAAAATAGACCCAGAGACATGGAAGCATGTGACAGACTGAGGATTCTCAGAGGGAAGAAGGGGAGGGGGATAGAAAAGGTCATCATAAGCAATGCTCACAAGGGATCTAGGAGCTATTCAAACTGAGGCTGTGTAAAGGTAGTTGGAGGACTTATATGCATTTATGCATAACCCGTGGACACACTAGTGGGAAGAAGGCCTGGGGAGAGAACAGGATTGGGGTGGAAGGGGTCAACAGGGAAAGAAAGAGGGACAGCTGTAATACTTTTGACGATAAAGATACATTTAAAAAAGAGGCAACCTCTTGAAATAAAAACATTGTGAAGTGGAAAAACAAGAATATCAGTCTAAAGGAACAATCTATTTCTATTAATACATCTTTTTTAATATATATAAACATCTAGGTGTCTTTAGCACCTCTTGCTTCAGAATCCATGAGAAACAATAAGTATAAGAGTAAGTGGCATTGTTGTATTTCATACTGTTATGGAATATTTACTTCTTCTTTGGCATGGAAAGGTGTTGATTAAGCTAGATGTTCAGTAAAATAAATTATTTTTGACATTGAGATCATTGTTAAAAACAGTAATGTAAGTACTAGTGAATATTAGAAGTTGTATATTTCTCCCTACAAAATTAAGTTCTAAGTTAGACTTGAAGCTCTGTTGCAGACTTACTGTGCAACCTTCAAGATATAGGCACACAGATTATGAGAACTGAAATATTTTTATGCTGGTTGATATGTAGTTGTTTGAACGTCATTCATGTGCTTTCCACCTGCTGCCCTGGTTATCTGATTCCCGCACCTAGGAATACCCAGATCTCCTTGATCCAACCACTAAAAGGTGGCATCTGACAGTTACCAGGACCAGTTTCCATTCTTACTGGCCAGAACCTATGCCCTACTGGCTGTTAATTATTTTGACTATCACCCCAGTAATGTCAATGACATTTTATCACCATTGATTTCAAACTTTTATTTTACCAAATCCATTCTTTACATAAAATTAATTAGAAAGTACACAGAAACTTCTCTGGCTCCATGCGGGTAAGCTCTTTAGCGAGCCCAAGGGTCTTCCTATTCTCCTAACCCTAACCCAACCCCCCACCCCCCACTCCACGTCCTTCCAGGTGGTTCCTAGGAGTTGGTAAGATAATTTACAAACCACATATAGCTTACCCTCTCATTGATGACACATGATGTTTAGTCACACGTTAGAGCCAGTTGTGACACTGCTACCAAGAACTGGCCTAGAGGAAGTGCAGTGTGCTTGGCATAAAAATGATGAGATTAGGAGCGAATGTCAGGTGTCAGATTACAGGACATTGCAAATAGCCAATTCCATTGACTTTTGATAACCTGTTTGCTGCTCTATTTTTTATGGGTCTTGGGACCAGCAATAGACATACGAGTTGCCTTCTAATCATTAGCCTAGTGGCAAAAATCTTGCTACTTTTATTATTTTTAGAATCGTGTTACTTTAAAAAATGTATGGCATGAATATGACTATTACACATGAGGCAACTATAGCTCGAGGAGCTTAAAAATTTGAACCACACTCACATAGGCTTCCCTGATCTATAGAGATACTTCAACTTCTAAAATGGCTACTTGTATTAAAACTGGAATCAAAATGTCAGAAGAGATGGAAACACGGAGAAAATAGTATTTATCCAATTTCTCTCAGTGAGAGTGCCATAGGTGTTTCTGCTAAGAATGTTGATGAAGGGTTGGGTGAGGCTCATCGAGGCACAGGGTCCAGGAAGATAAATGATCACTAACTTCCCCATGAAACATAGTGGATTGTATTTAGTGCAGTTTTCCTTCCCCAGGCGGGTATGCAAATGTGAAGCCATAGCTGCAGGACTTAAACCAGGGGTAAGGGAATGTTTTTTCCTAGAAAGGGTCAGATAGTAAATATTTTATGCTTTGTGGGTGAAATGATCTTTGTTGCACCTCCTCAGCTCTGCTGTTGTAGAGCAAAAGCAACCAAAGACATTCCATAACTAAGTGACATTGGTTGCGTTCATAAAGCTTTGCTGATAGACACTGAGATTTAAATTTCATATTATTTTCATGTGTCAAGAAGTTTTATTCATCTTCTAAGATTTTCTTTTTTCTTTTCACCATTTAAAAATACAACAATCATTCTTAGCTGCTGGTCAGACAATGGGCTGAATCTGGTCTGTGACCCACAGTTTGCTGACCCCTGACTTTTAATAGTGTTAAAGACTGGAGTGT